TACCTACGAAATTTTAGTTTTGTTCAAAAATTAGTTCTTTATCCATTTGTCATATTTCTTCATGTATTTATGAAGACGTTGTAGGATTTCTCGTGATTCTCAGAGAACATTTTAAAAATTATAGTTTTGTCTTCAAGATATCGTATCCAACATTACTGTAGGTAAATATCGCTAAATCACACGTTCCATCAATCATCAAATATTTTACTTTATAATGATGGTGAAACAGTTCATCATAGATAATATAGTTTAAAAAGTAGTTAAGAGGTAGCAGTATACTGAAACAAATTTTAAATAAAATCTTTTATTTTAAGCTAACGTTTAGGCCAAAGTTTGAGGCCTTCGTCAGGGCTGATCATTTGGAGGATGTCCAACACAGTTGGTAAAACCGAAGACATGAGATTTGGGCCGAAACGTTGGCGTAAAATATAATATTTTTAAAAAAAATATTATTATTCGTCTTTGTGACTACATTCCTAAACTAATTCCTCAACAATAATTTATTTTATTATATACAATACGAGAGGGTTCGGATGGTTCTGCTGTTTTACGATTATTTAGATAATTAATTCACCAAGATCATTGTATTATACCGATTTCGCTTCTTCAAGAATACCAAAAAATTCTAAATTCTCAACAGAAGCAAACACAAGTGTTTTCCTACACAGTAAAAATTTTAACATAATAAATATTAACCAATTTAGATCAGCTAATACAGCGTGTGGCTACCAGACAGCTAAAGTAAAATTCCGGGACTTTTCCCTATTTCATGATAGTTATTCCTGACCAATATATCTGGAGACACAAATATTAAAAATGTATAATTTATAACTAAATTAATTTATTATACATGAAAAAAAAACTGACTACAAAATGATTTGAGTAAAAAAAACCACTCTTTAAACTTGATCATGATTTTTTAAACTAAACTTTTAGTAATTTATTTTTATTTCTTTTATTGTTATTTTCATAAATTGAGAGGAGGTAAAAGTTGATGCTTGAAATATAAAGCTTTGATTTTCTCTATTATAAAATAATGTTAGCTAAGGCGGATTCTAATATTAATGTAGTTTCTCATAAGTAATATAGTTTTATTATTATTATAAAAAGCATAATAATGATCCATATGACACCAACCGTGCAATTTCTGGTTAATATATGTTCTTTTAAGGAACATATATCAACGAATGACTGCTTAGCAGCCAGATCTTGACCCAGATGTTTGTATTACAAATAGTTAATAGTATCGGCATGTTTTTTTTTTCAAAAAAAGTTGGTTAGGTTTTAAAACCTGGTTTAGGTCCAGTTTGCCTAAATTTTATTCATTACCTCTGTTTGATTTCAATACAACAACCAGAGCCGATATTGACAGTCAAAGGTGGATTAATATAGCGACCGTGGTCATTTATATCGACGAAGTTTATCCCTTCAAGGTCACTACAAACGATATCCATTGTTTTTTTATTTTCACTTTGAAAAAAAAAATTCATATTAAAAAAAAATCCCTGACTTCTCTCTGCTTTAAAAATTCCCTGACTTTTCCCATTTTTCCAGGTTGGTATCCACCCTGTAATAGAATATTCAGCCTTTTCGAAATCAATGGAGGGATTTCCCCGAAGGGAGAACAATTCTTTAAAAGTCGATCGATTATTCCTGAATTAACATTCGTAAATCGCTGATACAAGTAGTACAAATTAACGTAAATAAATTTAGTAGTACACACAAATTAAAGAGGAACACAAAAGAATACAGAAGTAAAAAAAAAAAAAAAAAGAGAAAAAAGGACACAGTTGGCAATTATATCAACTTAATTGGATTGAGTTACGGTACCGAGAATTTCGTACGGATATTTCCTCGAGGAAAAGTTATTAAGGATAAAATAACAAGACAATATAATTGGTTGTTGAGTAGAACAACAATCACAGTCCCATTCAACATAAACCCCCTCCACCCCTCTCCCTCTCGACAAAAAGGTGATTTACAACGACCGCCATAACTAAAATAACTAATATTTATGATAGCCTAAATCCCAAGACGGATGTCTTCACGCGAGCCAGAGCCAAACATATTTCTCCGGCCAGGTTACACAATGCTGAGGTGCTAGGGAAGAAATAACTGGTCACGAGGAACTTCACAATAAAACAACAAAGGCATCTACGGCCAGATGATATATTCACACAACAGTCTGAAATATTTATCACTGAACTAGTTAATTATTATATAAATGGCGAACCATTTAATTTTACAATAAAAGAAAAGATGATCAAGATTAGCTCAAAGAAATTAGTTGGAAGGAAATACACACACACACACACACATATATATAGTGGCCCACAGTCAAAATGATATACCTGTGAAAACAATAATTTATTGTAATCAATAAACATCCCAGTAATAATAATACGTTCTTTTTCTTATTCTTATTTTTATGTTATGTTTCTTGATGTGGGTGTGTATGGCGGCTTCGTATAGGAAATCCTCAATTTTTCAGATGGTATAATAATAATTTAGCGAGCCCAAAGGTTCGATACCGAAACCACCAATCTCTTATTACACACCTCCCTCCACCGTTCGCTGTCCAAACCCAATCCCTTCAGATCCGCTTTAATACAATCTTCCCACCTTCGCTTCGGTTTACCTCTCGGACGTTTACAATGCTTTACAACAAATATTAACCTTTTAGCAATTCTTTCGTTACGAAGCCCAACAATTTTACAAGTCCATTTGATTCCTGTAATCACCTCAATTATATTAACCGAATACAGTTTACTCAATTCGGCGTTGTGTAACCGTCTGAACTCTCCGGTTAACTAATCCTTCTTTGGTCCGAATATTCTACGCAATACTATATTATCAAAAACCTTAAGACTTTAATGTAAGGGATCACGTTTTGCATCCATAAAGAACTGTAGGTAACATAATGGTTTTATAGATTATAGTTTTTAAGTTCCGGGACAAGAGGCGCGAGCTAAGTAGTTTTGTCACAGAAAAATAACAAGCATTACCCACCTTCAGCCTATCCTTAATCTCCTCCTCAATTTCGTTTTTTCTATTTATCGTAGACCCTAGATACTTAAACTTCTCTAACGGTTCAAACGTATTACCTTCAGGTAATATGTTTAGATGGTATTATAAACATAAAAACTATGCTTTAGACCACACGATAGAAGTGAAAACATGAAAGAGGAAAGATTAATAATATGAAATATAAATCATAAGTAATAGTTCATTATGAAGAGGATGAAGTGTTCAACATATTCCATGCTTACAGTATGCAGGTCCGATTTTTAGTTTTTGAGATATTTTAAACCATATCCTCAATAAAACTCGTTATAAATTGGTTTTTGGCACTATTTCTTCCAGTTAGGCCACAAAAAAAACTCAATCAGTCGACACAAGCCGACTTTATCCGAGCGTTACCCATGGGAAATCTGACTGCTCAATCTAATTCACTCACCCAGAAAAAATGCAAAACGCCCCTAAATAAGTTCTTGATAAAAAGGAGTCTGTATCACGGACTATGAAGCAAATAGGTCGAAAATGATACAAATGACTAATTTTCCAAATATTCTTTTATCATGTTTTTCTTAAATGATATCATAGTTATTTATCAACACTAAGATGTTATTTCAAGTTCTCTATATTTAATAAATAATTATAAATTATTACGATGAATAAATATATGGTCTCTGGCAATAACTTGTTAGGTCAAAAACTGATGAGAAATTAGGTTAACTATAATTGACCAAATTCCAATTCATTTGATGAAATACCGAATTTAAGGATAAGTCAACTTAACTAGTTATGGTCAGAGAACAGTGAAATAAAACTAAGTGGAGTTGGTTTAAACTTTTTTGAATTGTTATTGACTTATTTCCCTTAATGAACACAAGTTTAAGAAAACAAAAAATGACATTTACTTTATATATATATATATATATATATATATATATATATATATATATATATATATATATATATATATATATAAATGTAAGGAAACCTAATTATTTCTAATTATCCCTAAAAACTTGGTATGTAGCATCCCAGTAACATTGATTAGATTAGCTAAAGTAAATAAATTGAAAATAAATGGAATGACAAATTTTTCTAAATAACATTTTGTCATTGAAATTTTTTTAAGAGGATTTCATAGTTTATGATATATTAATATTAAGATAATAGGACTATTAATTCAACCAGTTCTAAGTATTGCAAACCCCTTAAATGCGTAAAGTCGAGAAAATTATTTATGAAATGTGAGTTAAATAAGGCCGCTAGCATTCTCGATTTTAACGTAGGCTAGGGTCCTGTTAAGTGTTGCTAACTTCGTAAACGCACATAGAATGTTATTGTAAGGTTTTGATTTGTTTGGTTCTTTGTTTTTCAGGTGTACGATATCTACAGAAATGAAATGCAAAGATAGCTAGGATTTCTTCTATATATTCACAAAGTTCTCTGCCTTCTGTATCTCCATTCATGCTTTCTAATAAAGCAGTTTTAACAAAATAATCCAGCAACTCAGTCTTTTCACTTCGCTTTGGCATTTTAAAAATAAAACTCTTGTAAATCAATTACGAACTTACAAACTTTGTTTACAGTACAGGCATGACCTTACTATAATTAATAACATATTAGCACAAACAGGTTATTTACCATTCATTCAAAATTTGTGCTGACTGCTTGGTATGATAGCACATTAAGCATTTACAATAAGTGTATGAGTAACCATATTATTTTAAGGTTTTCGTAGACAGTTAACGATTACAACATATTACGACGAATAAATACAGTATGGTGTTGGTTTAGGATAACTGAATGAAAGATATTAATGGAGTTCGCCTAAGAATCATTAAATTCTTATTGATTTTGTCCCCTCACAAGTTTAACAAAACATAGAATGATATTTACACTGATTAATGGACCAATACTTATTTACAACATGCAAACATGTAAATACTAAATACATGGAACATATATTAAATATGAATTATACTCACGTGTGGCTGAAGTTTATCGTGTTTTCTTCGTTTCGGATCCGGTTCTGGCGAGCGAGGTCTGTACTTCTCGCTCGGGGAGATGGGACTCCTCTGCCAGCAGATAAAAATATACTTATAATATTTACATTAAAAACCATATCTTATATAATAATAGTAATATATATATAATAATAATATACATAATACGTTATTATACATTCCTTTAGCGGCACTCAGGAGAAGAATTTTGATGAATGAGGTATCAAATGAAAAGGGAATTCCATGGAGAACTGACTAATATCATTTTCTATTCTTAAATTTCGACAACTTTAATAAAATAGTCTGTGGTACAGACCCTTTTTATTAAATTATTAACATGTGCCTAAAACTTCGTAAATAGCTTTATCTCATTGTAATCTACAAATATTATATTTAAGAAAATTCTCAGAATTGGGAGGGTTTTCAATTTGGAGATCGAAAAACTTTGTCTATTCAATAAGGTACTAAAAACACATGAATACCCATTTGAAAAAAAAAGTGACCTACAAAAGTATTAGGCCATTTGCCCTACATAACCTCGTCAAGCGGACCAATATTTTCGTAGAACACATTTATTTTTTCGATTTTGAGATCATATTATCTTACGATTCAAGTGGAAAGCAAATGGGTATTCATGAGTTTTAAGTACCTAATTAAATAGAACAAGTTTGCTGATCTCCAAATTGAAAATGCTTCAATTCTCAGAATTTTCGTAAATAAAATATTTGTAAGTTACGATGAGATAAAGTTATTTACGAAATTTTAGGCTGATGTTAATAATTTGATAAAAAGGAATCTTTCCCATGGACTAAAAGTCATTGAAAAATTGGAAGGTTCAAAACTCAGATAGTTTCAAAAGTTGAAGAATAGAGAGAAAATAATTGTGTTTTGAAGATTTAAAATAGGGTATCAATCCTAAAAATGTCCTTTTTTTGGATAAGTACAAATGTTGGGACAGACTTGCCCGCATCACGTCCGAACAGCACCACGATCGTATGAATTACTTCGTTGATAAAACGAAACATGCATTTAGATTAGGTTAGAACAGCACTCGAGGAATAGGATATGTTTTTATTATAGATAAGGTACTTCATACGGTAATTCAAGTTGCAATAACACTGATATAATATTATATATATATATATATATATATATATATATATATATATATATATATATATATATAAAATAATATATCACTATATTATATATAGTGCCAATTGAATCCTGAGAGAAATAATTCACATTACTGCTGTCCTTTTATCATAATTTTTATGAACTTTAAACGTCAACGCACACATTAAGGAGAAACGCCGCCAAAAGATTTCCGAAAATAAAGTATAATATCAAGTTCGAAGAAGATAAGTTGGACGACTTAACTGTCCAGAATTACGTGATCCGCAACCGTTAAATATAATTGAACTGATAATAACATGCCGGCGAATGAGTTGTCCTTTGTAGGTTATGAATCACTTAAAAAGTAATCAGCGCTAAACAATGGGATAAACGTTCGATGGTAGGCCGAGGCGTAGGTGGGAGGATCGTGTCAGGTCTGACCTTTCAGTTTTGGGTTTTGATATGGCTCTGTGGAGCGAAATATGTTGTCTCAAATTGTTGTTGTAATAGAGCAAGTCTCTTAACTCATCGATGGTATTCATCGCGTTCATGCATTCATCGATTGAATCACATCATTAGCACAAGGGTCCAATCAGATACTGGGGTCGATGAGTAACCTTATTATAACTTATACTGTCGTTTTTCAATTTACTTTACACATTTTATTCAGTTTACTTCCCTCCTAAATTGATTTCAGTTTTGAAATGCACTTGTTTTGCAAAGCTATATATAGCTGGATTAAAACGATTAAGGTATTCCTCCGATGGAATCAGCGGTGATATAAGAAACTACTTAAAACGTTCTAACTCTTAAATAGTTATTTGTAAATAGAACAGTTAATTTCGTCTCTGAAAGAAGGAATTGGAACATAATCGTACATAGATTGTACCCTGTATATATCGAGATGAATCCTAAAGTTGATTTTTTTCTTTTAGAATGGAGGTTGTGTTTCAGGGAGACCTCAGAATTTGGGGAATTGTTACCTTGTCTCTGTGAGAAATTGTGATAAATAAATTATTTAACTATTTCATATTTATACTTTAAATGAAAGTTTTCTTACAAGGTGTAATTTTTTTTTTATTTCTACATAAACTAAAAAAGTATAATTTTTTACAATTAGGTATTTTTCAAACTGCCGATTTTTTTTTTTTTTTTGGTTTATTTTATTTTGGGAGGGTAAATTTCTCCTTTTCTTCTTTCTTAGATTTTCCAGTGGAATAAGCCGATTGTAAATGTCACAGGTAATTTCACATTAAATCTTGAAGAAAAATTTACATGTAATCATTTTCAATATTTTGTTCTGTTCAACACCAAGTAATAATATTCAAATAGATGTTACAGTTACACTTTTTTTTTTTTTAGTTCTGCCTAACTTAAAAGGTGATTAATAACCCAACCAATGCTCTTTGAAAAAACTTTATTCATAATTTTACAATAATTATAATCATACTTTATTTAATAATACAATATGAGTACTAAAAGCAGATATGAATAAGTACTCTTAAAAACTACAAAGTTTTTTTTTTTAAATGGAATGTTTTTTAAAAATATTATATTCTTTAATATGAAGTAAATTTAAACGTAAAAGCTAAAACGTACTCTTGTTCACTTCGGAAAAATGACGTTCGAATATTTTTATCTTTTTTGTCAATAAATTGGTCACTAATTTTTTTTTATATAAGTATATATATTATATAAAAGATGGGATGTAATAATGCTGGTTTATCAACAGTTAATCAACAGCAATGAACAAGTTTTTCAACAGATTTTTATCCTAAATACGTAACACTTCAGATTTTTTTATAAATATTATAAAACGTTTATTTAGATATATCAACATATATTATTATAACGTTTCGGCCACTTGGTCATTTTCAAACATTTCTTTACACGCATTATTTATCACCTGTATCATTTTTTAAATAAAATTATTTGTCAATAATATGCAGACAAATTTTTAGTCTATTTTATATATATATATATTTGTAGATAACCGTTTATTATTTCGGATCTACATTATTTTAAAATTTTTAATTACATACCACATTTCACATACATATCTTTTATGATTTATTGAAAAAAGTTACAAAAATACAAACATACAACGTTACAAAAATATATGTTGATGTAACTAAACATTTTTTTTTTTAATGTTGAAAAAATAATGAGTTATGTGTTTGGGATAAAAATTTGTTAATTTACAAATATTTGTATGTTTAATATTATTCTCCTGTTTTATGAATGATTTCCATTTCTCAATTACATAATACTAATATATATTAATACATTATTAGTTTTATTATTATTTTTAAAGAAATAATAACCATCTGCAGCACTACGTATAAAAAAAAAATATCAAGTCTGATTTTTACAGTATCTATTAAATCCCATAATTGAGTTGCACTCGGGTCATAAAATGGTTATAAAACTTATATAGCCAGAAACCGCCAATAAATATTAATTATATGAAAAAAAGAAAAATGGATATCATTTAATTACTACATTCTAACGGTACTCAACTATTTCCCCAAAGGCAATAAAATATTTTCAATTTAATGCTGATTATTAACTTTCCAAGAGCAATTAAAAAAGCTAAATGTAAATAAAACGGAATAATTTATTTATCACCGTTCCCCACCTTTCCTCGATTAAAATTTTAATACTCATTCGTTGCTGATATTCTTCGGTGCATTGACTCGAAAATAAAAAATGATTATAACAATAAAATCTAACATGTTTATAGTGTTAAAAATATCTTCCGAATAGATTAATGTCAAAATATCTGGGTAAAAAAAACTTAATCTATGAATAAATTAATATATAAAAAACAACATTAAGAAGAGATAAACTTTTAGCTTAGGTATAAATGCAAAAATGTATAAAGAATTTATTTTTTTGTCTGATGTGATTTGAAATAAACCAAGACGCAGTTACAATTTTTCAAAGTTTTTTGGATTGCGTGGTTTGAATGATATAAATCTTAAAAAATCTTAGCCGTGGGTTCTAATAGATCTTTGTATTGCGATGCAAAATAGTCGATTGGTTTAAGTAGAGATCTCGAATATATACAATAAATTAAAAAAAATAAGAACTGATCAGACAATACAAAAAAATATCACATCTTTTGGACTACAGATCTCTACTCAACGTACAAGGTAAGTGTCCAATGTATACCACCGTATGTATTTTGGGTACGATTTTGCGATTTTTTGCTGCACGTTTTTCGGATTTTTGCCGTACGAAGATGCAGTCTCTAATTATTACAAAACAAGCGACTAATCTACACCAACATACCTATTTAGACATACGGAGCAGAAATTTGTGGTTCAGCAAAACACGTCAGCTTAAACAAAAATTCAAACTACACAGTCCAAAATACCCCAACAAATAGTAAATGCTTCCTGGTTTATTTCAAATTGTACAATACACACAGCAAAATCCAATGCATAAAAAATGCACAACATTCGGCTCTTCAACTCTTAATGATCCATATCCACTTGTCCTCCCTTTTCTTCCTCCCTGTTACCATGTGAGCCGCAAGGAAGATTAAAATCAGTCGGGCCAGAGTCAGCTACCTGTACACATCGCTATTAATCTCTTATATCATCAGCTCTGTTTTTTTTTTGTTTTTTTTTTTTAATGTTCAGTACAGTTCATAATAGTTGAGTGTATTTTTCTTTTAACAGTATCAGTATTCACTGTGATTAGTGTAATATATTCACTTTTATCTACTTAAAGAAAGTGTCGTGAATCCAATTGAGTTCTAGAAGCTACGGGAGTGTAAACGTCTACTAATCCTCACAGCATTAGACAACACTGTTTACTGCTTTCATCAAAACAACTCACTCCCGGTATTTATTTATATCCTAATTGTACTATTTTAATTAAATATGGTGCAGTGCAATATTTACAATAATACTATTGCACGCGAAGACAAAAACAATCTTCATTATGTA